GAACTGTGGGAATAGTGGTGACAAAGGGAGAGTAAAATAAAGGGCTGATGTGTGGTCCAGAACCAGTCAGAGTGATGAATGCAGCCTTCTTGGTGATGAATGGAATGTAGTCGCTGTGGGTGATACATGAGGCATTAAAACCCAGTGGTTACACAGTTCATTTAACCAGGCCAGAGGCTGATGGCAAAGAGGCGTGGTATTAGTCTACTGGAAATAAAAAATCTAGGCTCATAAAAAGACATAGTATCTGATTCTTGTTTTGTGACTCTCAAGCTCTCCTCACATACTAATCGTCACATACAAAAATTTGATTACAAGTATGTAATCTGCCTGAATGATGTACATATACAGGTTTATGGTATATTGCTTTATACTCCACCTGGCTTTGTTAAAGTGAGATCAATGATAAGTTAGAAGCTTGACATACAGTACATACAGTACCATTTTTTTCCAATTTATATGAGCATAAGATTGTAAACTATGAAATGTCTGTAAACCTTTCAAAGACAGCTTTATTGTTAAACACTTTTTTAAATTATGGACTTTAATTTTATATTAAAGACCAGTGGCCAGCTGGTCAGTGATACATAGATCCTCAAACTAGCTCAAAGGCTGAATGTTTAGACTGTCAAATTCCCCTTAAAACAGACAAACATTCATTAAATACGTCTTCACCAGCATAGTCTGACATTCTGAAATATAAAGCATCTCTGTGTATTTTATAGGTTAAAATTATTTTTTATTGATCATGTTAGTGTCATGCCTTGTACAGCTAGAGGGAACTTTACTTTTGTCCTGTTCCTAGTTCCCTGTGATTATTCATGTCTTTCCGGTGTCTTGTTGTGTAGCCTATTTACTTCCTGTGTCTGCTCTGCTCCTGGTTCAGCATTGAGAGTACAGATGTCATAAGAACCGCCTAGCACCAGGTCACTCCTGTCCGTGGCCTGAGGGCATATGTTTCTTTCCAACATTGTCTGACCCCCTGACCCTGGGCTAACCCCCATGTTGCCCCCTTTTCAGCTACGCATAGGGTCTCTACTGCTCTCCTTGATGTTCCACGGCTTGCCTTTCCGACATCGATGATAGTTATATTAATAAACTAATGTTCTGTTATAGGGTTACTTTAGTTTAAATTCATGCAGTGTAACACATGTGTATAAAAACATGGTTCAAATCCTGGGAACCTGAAACTCTGCAAGGCAAATCTACTAAACTTTCAGGCAAAAATGGGTGTAAATATACTTTCCAGACATTATATTAAGAAACCAGCCTGAAGTTCTGGGTGAAATAATAAATTATTGCTTTTCAGTTGAGTGGATTGAGAGGCCGGGTCACATTTATCTTTTCTGCTCAGCATGGTTGTCTTTCATGTAGCATTCTGACACCTCCACTAACACAGAGGAATTCATATTAGCCCAGTGCCAGAGAATGATGGGAGAGTAAAACTCATGTCAGGAGAAAGCTATAAGCAATAACATGCTGAAAGACACACAGCACCCCAGCTTAAAGAAGTGACTTGCATAATAAGTTACAGAAACAGATGATGATTACTTAGTTTACTAGAAGCATAGACATATCTGAAAAGTTAACATTGATCTTAGTATTAATATATCAGGAATGTGCAGTCTTGGTCCCAGAGGGTCATTTTGTCTGCAGTTTTTCATTTCAAGTCAGGTCTTAATGAGCCACAGTCCATTTTTGGCTTAATTGAACAAATTTAACCACATCACCCAACTCTTTAGGCTTTGATGATTTCAAGAGGCTTTAAATAGAAAAATTCCAGACACATACAGTACACCCTCCAAAGACTAGAAATGGACATCCTCATTATACTTCATTTGTAATTCACTTATTTTAAGAGTTTTCAAAACAGAGAAAATAACACATTTTAATGGCTTAATTTTGTGACATCAATGCATAATCAATGAAGTCTGATGAACTAAGAAGTGTATAGAGTTTTTAGTGTGCTTGGGATGTAAGGAGCTGTAAAGGATATAGCTGTTTGCTGTAAGTGAAGCCACTACACTACAATACTGATTTACCTGTTACAGCAGTAGTTTCTAAACAGGGGACCCTAAAAGAGCTTCCCTCAATGTGATGGCAAATTAACATCCATTATTACTAAACAGTGCTGCTTTTCTTCTTTTATTGAGAATCTCTTGAATCCATGGTGTTCAGTAGATGTTTCGTTGTTGTTACAAATGCAATATTTCCACCTCTTTTTGCCATTTAAAACAGAGAGCAAGGATGGGTAGAATGTCACTTTTAAAAGTGATGGTTTAAAAATGGGTCCCTCAGTTAATTAAGTTTTAGAATCTCTGCTTTTGGCGTTACAATCTTTATGAAATTAAGGACTTCATAATACTTGAACCATGCTTGTTTGACATCTGACTGTTTCAATTACTCTTGAACAGCTTCAGGCCAACTTTTAAGAAGCAATATAAAAAATAAGCATTGCCCAAGCCACAATTTCTAAATTCACCTACACATTACTGGGCTTAGTACAATATACAGATGCAGCCATTCAAAGTGCGCGGTACAGACACGTACCGCAGGTAATTGGCTGCGGTATCGCGTATCATGACGCAAGATGACGCGGTACGTGATTGGTTGACCGACAGGGGCACTCATGGTCCGTTATTCCCTTTTAATCAAATTCTAAAAGTATGCTTGTTGACTCCGGTATCACGTTAGTTAAAGACTTCGAAGCTTAAAATGTTTAGGGAGAAATGGAATACTGGTGTGTATTTTTTTCTTTAAAGTACCAAGACCAGCTATATACTGTATGTTTATGTTCCAAAATTAATATCGTTTATGGCCTTCACATGTGTTGCAGTATGCTCCTATTCTTTTATGCTCAGCTACTAAGATTTCCCTTCAGTGGTAAAATTAGATATGAATATTCAATACTTAAACGGGCACAGTTAAGACATTAAATATACATATACATACTGTATACAGTACAGTTTGCATACGGTAATATGTTTATGTTCCTAAATCAATCTCTTTTATGAGCATGTGAAAGGCATGGTGAATCACTGTACTTTGCATGATTGGAAACAAATGCGTGATTGCGAAATGCTGTGGTGTTACTTTTACAAAGACTGTCAATGAAAAAAAGAATGTTGACCAGGGCAATACTTTGAGTTTACACTTACAGCTTGTCCAAGGTCATTCATTATTAATACTATTAGTAATATCTTTGTTAAAGACTGATGGCCACAGCTCAAACATGAGAGGTTGAGCTTTATTAGCTCCACCTTGCGGAAATTCCGGATACTATTAGTTTGCTTGTCGTATTATAGGAGAATTTACAGTAACTAGCGGAATTTACCGGTAACTCGCGGTATTTACCGGTAGCTTGCGGTAGACTGCTTACAGCGTACCGGAAAATAATGCGGTATCGCCCGCGCATTTTGAATGGCTGCATCTGTACTTTAGAATTCCTGTACCACAGTGTTTTAACGTTACTTGTCCTGACCATATCAAAGTAGTGCTCCAAGAGTCTACTCAAGTAATTCCTTATAATTGTACCTGCTCGAGTGCACAAATGTTGTTTCAATTTGACATTAAAATATTGGTAGCATACAAATGTCCAGAAATAAATTGTCCAGTATAAATGGATATTTAAATAAACTGCTAACAAATATAAGTGAATGACTTACACAAGCTGTTTTAAAATTATTTATTGTGCTGCAAAGAGCCAAAAACAAAATGACAGGAAATTATTGTACTTATCGTATAGTTAAAAAAAAGAAAAAAGGAAAAAGTAATCAAGCAATCTGTGATACTGAAGGAAATTCAAAGTCACATCTTCATCTGTCTCCTTTAGAAATCTCTTTGCACTTTTTATTTTTACACCAGCACAATGGCAATGGAGCACAGAATGGATACAGTATGTAAAAGGATTCTTTTAGAAATGTACAAGAAAAAACACTTGCAATTCTTCTTTGTGTTAAATGTTCAGAAAATGACCCAGCTCACAGCAGCAAGCATTCTAAATACAGGAAAGTTTGCTTTTCAATAATAACTTGTTGAGTTTCTCAATTGGGGAATTTAAAGCCTCTTAAATTTTGCCTTTTTCAAACAAGGAATCTTAGTACAGTAGGAGAAAATAAAAGTTAAAACATTAAACTAGCTAAAGATATAGTTTTTCTATCTAGAACCTTCTGTTGTTAAATTTTTTAAGTTCTTGAAGAGACCAGTACATACACTAATCATTTATATTTCCCAAATTATTTTTTCAATTTAATAAATTAAGTAATTAAATCAATAAGTTAAATTTGTTTGATTTTTTTCTAACATTTCTCTTTTGGTAAGTGCCACTCAACTATTCACAATAATATCTGTAATTTCCACTATAAAACAAAAAAACCAAAACAAACATTTTTCACATTAAGCAAAGAAAGGGAAACTTTAATGAAAAGCACTTGTTAAAAAAGGTTATTATTATATAAAAGTGCCAAGACCTGTTAAAATGAATATTACTTGCATTTGTTTATACGATAGAAAAATATTGTGTACAATATCTTTCCTTGTGTACAATCCTTGTATCCCTGTCCTTGTGTACAAGGACAAACTGCCACAAATTCCCAGCTTATTTCTGGAGACATTCCAGCAGTTTTGACATAAGAAACAATTCTTAAAGGAGATAAAAAACAAATGTATCTAGAAGCCATGCTTTAAAAAAACACTCTGTCTGGGCCACATTTTCTAACACATTCTATGCACTCTATTAAAAGTTTAATCAAGGTGAAGCAAACTGCAGTGAGCAATGTATTTGAGAGTGAAGCTGAACTATCAGAAAATTAAAAAACAAAATTAAACAAAAACATAGGTAGAATGAGATTCTCCCTTTTCCCTTTTGCCTCAAACTCATAAGCCTTGAAGCATGGATGGGGAATGCCTGTTTAACTATTTCAGATAAAATCATTTTTTCTCAGTTATAAATACATTCAACAGGAAACAAAACATAGAAAATTATATATAATATATATACAATACTTTTTATTTGTTTTAGCATAAAATATTTACATAAATATTCCTATAATGATAACTTTTTAGGAAGCATAATCTTATTTTCATTTGATTCTGAGCTGCAAAGAAAAATAGTGCTTGAATAATATACAATTCAGCAGCTCCCCAGGTAAGGAAGCAATTTCTAAATCTGCATAACTGGTAAATAAAAATCTACTGATTTTTTGTAGTATATTGTTAGCATTAGCTTCCAACCCTTCAAAACCCTCCAATTACCCACTGTAACTTAAAACTGGGTCGACATCTACCTTCTGCTGTCTTACATATACACATCAAAAACCAGTGCTCAAATACAGAAAACAGTAGGCCTCAAGGCTTTGGTTTTGTGTTGTGTTTATAATTTGTTACCTTGGAGGTTAGTAAACCCAGTAGAACTAGCCATTAAAAATCAAAAGCAGCACACGTTTGTAATTTATGTGTTCAATATTAACTTGCCCTTTATGCTGCTTTCTGCTATATTAACTTTTTCTAGATGCATTATTAAAAGCGCAAGCCCTTATTTTTGGAAAGACTGTTGTGCAAACATATCAGGCCTAATGCCTTGTAGTTTCCAGTCTATTGCAATGCTTCAAGCAAACAGGTTTAAAAGGAGGCATGTTTTTTTTTTTCATTTTTAGTCCTTTAGCGGATTAGGCTTCGTCAAAAGCAGTTTCAGAGCAGCAAAGAAAGCCAATGTCTGGGTCTGCCCTGGAGAGATGCTCCCTAGTCTTAAAGTCAGTCTGAAAGATACTTACACCAACAAGGTCCATTCCCTCTACAATAATATTAAAAAAGAACATACATTTTTAACAGGTTTTAGAACTTTGGTGCTAAAGTGTTCTAGGAAACACTTGGTCAGAATATCACTGCGAAAGAAAACAGGAATGTTATTATCGGGCACGCTGCAGGAGACAGCCTGTCTTGTCCCAGAGCTGAAAAATGAGTTCACAAACCTACCACAATCCATCAGGCAAGTGAGAAATCAGTTATATTTTTTCTCAATGATAATTTTTATTATACTGTATTTGTTTTGTGTTTTTTTTATTTATTTTTTTTTCTGTGTACAGTTCACTACATTTTCTCTTTCAGTGCTTAACGGTGCTGTGTGCTCTTCACACAGTTTGGTAGAAATTGTCTGCCATCAAGTTGTTCTGTTTCTGCATGCTGTAGTAGCCACTGTATCTTGAGTCAGGATCTGCCATCCTCAGCATTCGTTGGGGGCTGTTCACTTGCACCATAGTGCCCTTCTTACAGTCCACATACACCAGCTGGTTGTTTAGGCAGGTGGGCTATAAAAAATAAAATACAAAAAAGTAAAACATTTGATGATTTTTTATTTATTAAGATTATTGAGGGTAATAAAATGTGCTAGAAAAACATAAATTATGTAGGCACACAATAGTAGTGGCTTCAATAATACTTAATCAGGCTGTTTATGAGTCATGATTTATGGGTTACCATCCAATAATAATTTTCCTCAATGCAAGGAGGGCTGTGATATATGGGTTATGGCTGAATTTCAATAGATTCTTTACATGCAATGCATGAAGCACAGACAAAATTGTAAAAGAAGAGAATACATTTTGGTATATGTGAGGTATACAAAGTTGTGATTAAAACAATTCACATCAGGTCTAACAGTGTGGATTTAAAAAAATATTTTCTTTGGAAACAAAAGACTTTATTCTAGCAATAATCTTTCTACATATAACCAGTGCAAAAATTTGCTATTTCAACTTTGGTTTTTATATATTTAGTATAATATATATTAAAGCACATTATGTTTAATGTTTGCACTGTATAACATAAAAGTAGCTATTCACCATGTCTTGCTTATTGTGTTACAATATGGATAACGTACGTGGACAATCATTATGTATTTTATTTGGATGTTTTGCTTGTTAGTTTTGCCACTAAACACTATTACAGTATGTGAAAGTGAAAACAAAATTCTACAGATCCTCTGAAATTCATTCTAAACATAAAACAGAAAACGAATTGCATACAGATGCAGCCATTCAAAGTGCACGGTACAGACATGTACCAGAGGTAATTGGCTACGGCGTCGCGCATCGTGACGCAAGATGACGCGGGGTACCGAGGTACGTGATTGGTTGACCGACAGGGGCACTCGTGGTCTGTTGGTCTGCCGTAGAAAGACTTACAGTAAACGTCTTTATTGTGCCCGTTGTAGATATTGAATTTTACCACTGAAGGGAAATCTTAGTAGCTGAGCATAAAAAGAATAGGAGCATACTGTA